AATGAGTCACACACTGTGCACCACCAATATATGAGCTGTTCACCGAACTCGGGATGCAATCGTCCGAAAAGGTACATTTCTTCGAATTGCCGACAACAGCAACGGCGACGGCTTTCTAGCCACTCATTGAGAAGAAGCTGGTTGTTCCAGCGCAGCCCTGATGATTCGCAATTCAGCGAGTTATGCGAGGTTGGCGCTTTTGATGGACGATTACAAAGACAAACCTACTCCGCACTGTAGCGCGGCTACGTTGAAAACGCGAAACCTCAAATGAAAACCGCCAAAGCTGTTCACCCTGTTATCAAGTCTAATAGCCCTTGAAAATTCAAAGTAACGACAAAACAATCCAATTGATGCTCACAGGGGTACCGTAATGTAATGACCACGCCCAGTAGACCAAGGAGGAAACGAGAACTGCCTTCAGGGAAGAGGGGAATATATGGACTCAAAATACGATCGTTCCATTCGTGCGAGCAACATGCTGCAATTTTATCCACTAGGAGGGAAAATCGTGTCCCTGAAGACACGAGGTCAACAAGGCCGCCTTGCAAATGAGCGATAAAATATGAAGATTTAGAACCGACTTCAAAAAGGCTGTTAACCTCCTTGAATTTAAATTCAGGTGGACTACCCTTGAAATGCTGGAGGATCATTTCAACAAGAAATCTGATGCTTGACGGTCCGTATGTTTTCGGCGATCGTTCAAAACCACGCACGCGTGAGCCCGGCACAAGTCGGTTCCCCCGACGTCGGGCTGCTGGTGGACAGGTGTTCAATTTTATGATCTGATTCATAACCTGGAGGGGCAGGTGGCGCTTCAGTGCAGCATTGCTCATCCTACTGTAGTCACTGGCACCTATTCCACAATATTTCTTCTGTACATAAATTCATTTCTGTGGGACGTCCCCTCCAAATTTCTGCGTCGCTTTTGCTCCACCTTCAGCCTGTCTACAGGCCAATTATTCCTCATTCTCGAGTTGGATCCTCACAGCTACCACTTGGGATGTTTTCTATGCCCTCAAGCTACCTTCGGTGGAATTCAAGCTTGACGACTCCCATTGTTTTTCTCACTGGCACAGGTCAATGTTGCGCAGAACGCTTGGGCCCATTGGATCAGTTCAGCTACTGGACATCTAGCGGGCTGTTCCCACTGGGTCCGGTTGCCACCTATGAAAGAAAATTAGTTACTTAGGGTTGTCGTGGTGGTTGCTCGGTAATCTTTAGTTTTACCCGATATTTGACAGAAAACCATCAACCTCGGACTTCCATTCGAGACATGCGCCTCACATATTTTGCGGGCGCATGTATTCCACCAGGCTGAACTGGACTCTTTTTAGAGATTTTGGGAATCCCTCGAGTGCTACTCTCAAACCAATCGGCGTGCGCTGTACTTCTGGAGACCTGGAACATTTTAGAATCGAAGTCTTCAAAATAGACTTACAAGAGACGCTGCCAAATTCTCGGCATTTTGAATGCGAAATTACCACCTGGTGGGGTTTATCGGCTGGGCGTCCAAAGTAAGGCCACGAGGGTAGGGTTTACCCAATGGCAAACCATGGCCATTCTTGTGTACATATGACAGTTCTAGAGAAATATGTCAACAGTTTTGCCCTCGAATGAAACTAGAGAATTTCTTAAGGGCCTGGTAGTAGTACCCGTTGTCTGCAAAGGGCATTAGGCAGAATCGCATTATTTTAAAGACTTTTGCCCAAACATAGAAATTCTCACATCCGCAAAGTCAATTGCGCATTGCGGCGGTCGGCGTACGCGGAAGTATGTCTGAATTAGGCAAATTGGACGCACACGGTTTGAAAAAGCTAATTAAGTCTTTAATGAAATATTGCATGACGCGAATAAAATTAACTGTGATATTTCTCGCGTCACTGGACGAAGGCAAACTTCCCATCTTCTGGAGGAAAGAGGTCACTCCACCAGATGACAACGGACAACCACTTATTACCCGATAGCTACGAAAGTGCCAACATGGATGACATGCAGTGCAGGTTTTTTTAGCAAATCATACAACGCGAATAAAATTACCTGTGACGTTTCTCGCGTCACTGGACGAAGGCAAACTTCCCATCTTCTGGAGGAAAGAGGTCACTCCACCACATGACAACGGACAACCACTTATTACCCGATAGCTACGAAAGTGCCAACATGGATGACATGCAGTGCAGGGTTTTTTTAGCTAAATCCTACACGGAATATTCTTCTTCTTCTCTGCTTGTTGTCCACTGAAGTTTAGATTTTTGCTGATCTATCTCCACCTAATTTCTGTTGCATTTCAAAGACAACATTGAGTTTTGGGATTTCAAAGCTAGCTCGCTTCAAATAGGTACGGACGCAGCGCAGTGATGACCATTAGAACGCTTGCTTTCAGCCGGAGACGTGTCCACATGTGGGCTTTGGTAAACCGCACACACTGAGAACGCATTAGAGGTCATCACTGACCGTACGTGAAATACGACGGGTATCAAGCTATCTTCGGAAACATGTGCCTTAGTCCACAACGCAAACCTGTCCGTCAGTAAATCTGATATCTGGTTATATTTGCTAGTCGCCCAAATTTTCAGCTGCTAATACCAGTACCAGATGGCTCTAACGGCTTCAGCATTTGATAAGACATTTTGTTCATTTGCGCCTTCAGCAAACCTCTCTCAGGCCTATACTAAAAGGTTGAAGAATAAATTACATGGGGTCATTTTTCATATACCAACTGAATTCTTAAATATCATGTACCGCCTTCTTTTCGTTGCCCTCAGGACCAGAGAAGTGCATTGGCCCTCAGAGAAGGCCTGCATACGTGGAAGCACCGAATCGTTCCACGACTTGGCCGCATTGTTCGTTGCACATATCATTCTCCAGTCACCCGTGCCACGCACGTAACCACCACTACACGTCAGACCTTGCTATTGTTTTGTACACTTGAGCACCTGGGCACTTTTCACTTGAGCCAACAACTTGCCCACCCGTGCTGCACCAGGATACAGGTATTGGGGTCGTGGCCGGCCGCGAACTACACTAACAGGAATTTCACCTAGTGTTTATATGGCCACTTTCCGGGTAACCCGGGTACGAATTTGGCTCCAGTTCCACCGCTAAGGTTTTGTGTAATACGGCCTGATTCCAATCATGTGTGCACAGTATGCACAATTATCCTGCGCAGAGGTGTCTTCCGGGAGAACGAATACTTCGTTTTCTTTCCCGCACATGTGACGCAGCTGTTGGTTTGTCCGCGAGTCTGCCTTTTATGCATCACCCTATCTCTTGTGATGGGCAATTTACTACTCAGTACGGAAATGGTCAGTTTAAGGTGACTGTGGTGCTCACGAGTTACCCACTAGGTTCCATTTAACATACTACAACCCCCATCCTAGCAAAAATTCTCTGTGGCGTTATTTATGTCCACACAGGGTTCTGGGTTTCCTTCACCTCATATTTCCTTCACCATAGCAGTATAACAAACACTGGTTTGTTTTTAGTGAGCCAACCAACCCTAAAGCGCGTCGCTGTGACCCACGCTGAAGTAGCTGCGTTCCCGGGTCTGCAACTGGAAGCGTTTAGCTGACTATTGAACACGCTCAAAACTCCTCTGAAACCGTGATTCGAACGAAAGAACATTTAGCGTCACGTTTCTGTGTGTTATTCAAACTCCTAAAATCTCTCCATGCCACCGCAGTTATGTTGAAAATTATTTAAAGCCATTCCTGACCCACTCTGGGTGCGAGATTTATATTTTGTTGCCCTCCAGTGGTTTAGTGGTGCCTCCATGACGACGGTGAGAAATTTTGTGTTTTCGATCTTTTCACGTGTTTTATCCTGTATTGCATTCGGCAATAACCTGAAGAGTACATGGACACTAATTATGCCTTCTTTGTTCATGAGATCTCAAATTGGAGCAGCCTTCGTCAACTGTGCAGCGGATAGTTTTCTGTCGTCGCATCAGGTATCCCACCATACAAGATCAAGGAATTGATCACAGCTCGTAAATATTTGGTTCTTTTTTCGTGATGACCAGCATACACTGTATCGCGTGCACGGCGAGGTTTTCTCTTAACGGTATACTCTCGACGTGATAGTGAAACAAGAAGAACTGTGGGATTTGTGGACAGAAGGACAGACGGTACAGTAATTTAGACATTACTTTGTACGTCTGGGACAAATACGCAATCCATTGGAGTGGTCTTCCGGGTCCACGTAGTACGCTTAATCGGGACATATTAGGGATGTGTTGGACTACGGTCAAGCCAGCACACCGGGTATGACAGTCGCGATAGTCCTATCGCTACCTGTTTGTGTGCTTCGTAGAAGCGGGTGTTTGCGGCCTGGAAGTGTGCCGATCTGCGAATCTGGACAGGCAGGCAAGGTGCGCTGATGGTATGGGTTGTAGGGAGTCAAGGTCCATCGATGGCATTGTGGCAATGCATATTACTTGGATATGGGTAACGAGATATAGTAAACCATGCAGTCCTCATCCAGATCATCATCCTCATCAAAGAGAGTTAGATCTAATCTGGAGTTGTTTGTCTGTAGATGGCCTGAACTTGTTTCGGTTGTTATTTATCTGGCAGAACCACGAAATACAAGCGAAGTACAACTGTCCTTTGTCTTATTATTTAAAATGCGTGCGGTTGCCTAGAGATACCCTGCGAGGCTCGCGGCCAACGCCGAGGTTCAAGGCCTTCTCACCTCCATCTTAGTTCGGGGGTATATCAGCCCAAGTCCAGTTCATCAGCCGGACACGACACTCGTTCTTCATGCTCGTTCCACGGATTAATCGTATGTATATAAAATATAAAGAACTTATACTTCCTTGAATACGAGCATTCATGGCTAGCGCCTGTTAGCTGCTTTTGTCACGCACCATTCGTTGCTGACGCAAATGCCCCTGTGGCTGGCAAACCACACTCTTCCCTTTCTCCTCAGTTCATATACTACATTTCAGTTACACTGCGCTTCCTATCCATTAACTCGGTTTCCCTCGCACAACGGGTCATTATCTGGCTGCTCTCCTTTTTCAAATTAACCCCCGACACTTTTCACACCAGAGACCTATTTGATTCGATTCTTTATAAGAGCAAAAACACTATTTCAACTCCCGTACAAACTAGGCCAAAGGATAACTTTCTTACTCGGTAACTCGGCATCTAAATTCTATCCTTCCCTTAATTACGCAACTACGCCTGCACTGGCCTGGAGCCTTCTGTTAGACTGACGCTTAATGCAAACAACTCAAACACAAATCTTACCACCAATGAGAGACTCTTGCGTGGGTATCCGAATACCCTGCATACGCACCGAGTAGTCGCCCACTAATAATAATTTGTTGTTTCCCCAGTAACCTCAGCCAGTCACTGGCTGCTAGGCCAGCTAAGAAAAATACCCTGTTTCATAGGTTCATTCAAATTATTGTCAGCCCCTTTAGACTACTTTTGTATATTGGATACCGTTTCCTCTGATACCTCTTGGCGCTCACCAGACACTACAGCTCTCATCCTATCCCACCTTCATTATTCAATCTTACCAAGTGTAACGGCCGAACGGTATCTTCGAGTGACGCGTAATACCAGAACCTCCGGGTAGGCAAAACAAAGTCGGGGCTGGGTTTCTATACGGTACTATTAGGGTAAGAGAAATTCACAATTTATACAAACCTCGACAGTAGATACGCGTCTAAAACAAACAGTCCGCTTGGACTGCAAAAGTACAAGGCAAGGGAGGGAGCAGGCTCCCACCTGCGACAATCACATGTGCAAATTCAGATAAAAAATGGCCGGATGACCTCAAGGCCAACTGGGTGAAGTGGTAAGGACAAACAATCGTCAGTTCACAC